TTGACTCCATAACCCAAGGAAAGTTTTCAAATCTGAAATCATGGACCTACCTTGGTGTGTCGATATCATAAATCAGTGTTATTAAAACTGCAAAACTGTTGACAAAAACTGTGAGCTAGAAACCAAAAGAAGGCCAATCAAAAGGTCACATTATAACAGAGCCTACCAATTAGGAAAGACCAGTTAGCATCAGGGTTAAATGAATGGCGGTAGGCAGCCTCTGCAAAGACCACACCAGTCACGAGGATTATGATCAGAAGTAGTGCGATTCGTTGGATATTATTCCGCAAGTAGTTCACCCGTAACCAGGGTATACCTCTGCAACCTCGTCTCTTGGGTCTAGTGTCTTTAAGCCAAGCTGCTGCACTATATCATAGTATGAACAATAAGATAAATATGCAGTGTGAGATGACAATACAATAATTAGGGATGTTCGGTGTATACAGCTTATAAGTCTGTGGAAAGTGCTATGATCCTACCCGATTGAAAAATTTTCCAGCAGATCTGGGTACCGCTTAAGTGCTGTCATGAACTCATCAAATGATATGGAGCCATCACTGTTTTGGTCTGCGGTGTTAAACAGCGTTTCCGTTAGATGATCTACTTTCTGATCACTGAGGTCCAACGAACTCTCCTCCACTCCCGTCTTCAGCAGAGCTCGCAACTCGTCTTTCTCGATGTTTCCGCTTTCTAGGGGACACAAGAAGAATTCACGTTTTTATTTTTGGCCATTTGTGCCTCCCAGCAGCATTGTACTATTGACTTGTGAACGTCAATTTTTGTACTAGAGGTGATGGAAAGTTTCCTTTTCAGAAAATCGGGAGCATAGGGCAGTGATCATGGAACATTACATTTCCCTAATTCTTGTTACGACATATCATTAAATTGGGCAAGATGTAGCCATGTTCGCACACACTGAAGTTCATCTCCAGCATCTGGTGAACTGCTTCTGCTAATATATTGATTTCAGACTCATTATCAGCTTAAATAAAACTACAATGACACAATGACTTGACAATCCCCTTCCAACAAAATGAGCGACGATGTAGTGGTGATGGTCGTTCAGTTCGCCACCACAATAAACTCCAACATTGCCCTTAATGTCGAGACTGACAAGCTCACAAAAAAGCTGCCATTTCAACACAAGGCTGATAAAGTGTGTCTAGACAAACAAGAAGCTGACAGAAAACTATAGATACACAAAGCTTACGAAGTCAGCACTGCTTATGTTGCAGCGAGCACATCAGGAAAGCTGCCACCTCCAAAGCAAGGCTAACACAGCGTGTCTAGATGAACAAGATCTAGGTATACACAGTCTACGAAGTCAGCACCACTTCTGTTGCAGCGAGTCCTGAATACTGAAGTCGAGAAGGGAAATAAAGCTCAGCAGCTTCCACATGAGGTGTCTCAGATGCACACTTCGAATCTCCAACTAAGAAAGGAAAACAAACTGCTATACGTTCCATCCAGAGCCCAGATTCCAAGCATGCTCTCCTTATTCAAGCAGCAATGAATTCGCTGGCTCGGGCACTTCCACCTCATGGAGGATGCACAAGGTCCGACACAAGAAAGCTCAGGGTCTGCCAAAAAAGTACCTAAATCTGCCTACAGGATGCGGAAAATACTGCCGCTGTCGAGTGGGATAACACGGCCAAAAGAAACGTCGTGGCCTGTCGAGGAAAGAGATGAATAGACAATCCACCCGACACCATATGTCATGTGATGTCACCTCCGTACAAAATGACAAATCCCATCTTAACGAATGTAAAACCTATCCTGGAATATCCTGAGATATTTTCCCTCAAAATATTTACAAACCAATCGTGGGAAACAGACTGTATGAAGCAGATAAAGCACTTTAGTTTGTCAAGAAATGTGCTACAGTGATCGAGTAGTTAAAACGTGTTACGCTACTGGGAACATGCTTTCGTATCGGGGGGGGGGCAGATGACAAACAATCATTCCCTTTTTATAGCCGTTTCACCAAAAAGTAGTTTTAACGAGAATTCATTTGATATGATTTTTTCATTACTGTATGTATTTTTAAAAATATTCAAGATAAACCCTGGATGACACCAAAATTCAAAGCCTTAATCAAAAGTCGACAGTCTTAAGTTTATTTTCTGACGGTAAAATTAGATGGAAATCTGTTCGGAATATTTGTACGGTGGCTTCTGCTAAGAAAGAATTATTATCACAATCGTGTTCAAAAATTAAAAATCCTGCTTGGTGGTATTGTACCATAAATTGATGACATCAGGCTCTACTTCCAATCCTACAATTATCCCACCACCAGGAACGAACTGTGATTGTGATCTGGATATTGCAATCAACATTTTACTTCGATTGGAAATGATCTTAGTCCAATACAGATTGTTCCTAAAAAAGGTAACCGAAGTTCAAAGGTCAGCTATGTCAAGAATATATGGTTTATTCTTGTGAAGTAACTCATCAGCTTTAACTTCACGCCTTGCTACTTTTCCAAGTTTTTGGTTAGTAAGGTACGAAACCAACCTTTCTGTAAGTTTTTGGTGTCAACGTTGGTTTGTTTTTCACACCAAGGTTTAATGAAATGCTATCCCCTCTGTTAACATTTTGCAAGTGACTGTAATTCACAATCTCTGGTGAGCACATCACTCAGCCCTTACTTTTTATGCACCAACACCTTCGACGTGTCTATCCTCCCCTGTCGACACAAAGCTGTGAACAACTCTGCATGTCTCTCACTGCTCTTCTAACTTGGAAAACGTAGGTTTTGTACCCTTCACCTTCTGAGGGCCCTAACTCTGTGATATGTGACAATGTTGATGCAAGCAATGTGTCAAATTAAAGCTGATGAGTTACTTTGTATTATAGTAAACATTTCACAAGAATGAACCATGTATTCTCGACATAGCTGAACTTTGAACTTCGGGTACCTTTTTTTAGGAACACACTTTAGATTTTCCAAATGTTCAGAAATGGGAGGTGTACTCTCAACTCCAAAACAAAATCAGTTGTAGGAAGGCAGGTGGTCCGGATGACATTCCAGTAGCGATCATCCGTGAATTTGCTTACGAATTAAGCAAACCACTCACACATATTTTTAACTCATCGTACCATGAAGCAGTAGTTTCAAAGGAGTAGAAAGAAGCTATTGTCATTCTTTTACCAAAAGAGTTCCCATCCTATTTGGAATAAGCTCTGACCATTTTCCTTAACTGATCACTCTGCCAAAGTAGCCGAGCATTTTGTTGTTCAGTGGATTGTAAGGTCTCTCTTAGGGTAGGGAGCAGTTATCATAAAGAGATGAGAGTCACTATTGTTTTATTCTGTAGAATTATTTACTGTTGCGTTCCCTAAATATCAAGTCGATGGTAGCATGGACTTTTTTAGTGTCTACGGGATGTGATATTTGGGTCAACAATTTATTAAAAGATGGACGTGAAACAAGGGGTTTGAGTGACAGTCAAACTGTATGGTTGGTTTATTGCTCTCACTTCTCTTCATTAAAGTTCAATGTGGGTTTGAAGAAGGTGTAGCTTAACATAATACAACACACAAAAGGCGAAGTTGTACACAAGTGTAACTAAACTACAGTTTGGCAGGACCATTGGAAGTCAGACGGAGTGGGTTACGGTGCGTGTGTGTAGCCTTGCACGACTAGGCTACACTCATCGGGCCGGGCTGTGGTGGGAGCTGTCCCGGACCACCACGGTGACTAGCAAGGGCTGGACAGGGCCAGCGCCGGTATGTACCGACCACACTGCCGCTCAGTCCACAATGTGTTGAGCGCAATGATAAGATCACCGCACTGTGCACCATTGGCTCAGTGTAGAGACGGTGAGGACTGGGCTAGTTAGCAGGACAAGGGTGGCGAGGAGAACGGGGGTGTCTCGCCCGGCAATCGGTTCGGACGTAGCGGTGACGGGCCGCTACGACTCTCACTAACACCCTGGGCTAATTCTTACCGTTCTCGCTGGTCCAAGCTAAGCTATCTGGCCATTTATATGGTTAGATTTCTTCGCCATAAGAATGGTTACTATCGCACTTCTCTCGGAAAGGGTCCAACTGCCGCAATACGTTAGGTTCCGCTCTCGCAACTAGGGTTTGGTCCGCCACACCTGACCGACGAGCTAGAGAAAATCTGCTCTATTTTTAGGATTCTAGAGGCTTAGGGATTAATAAAATATGAGCGTCGCTGAACAGTTCAACCAATG